TCTAGGTCTTTAGAAAACTTTCCTCTTTTTAAAGAAAAATTCCTTTGAATATGAATTCTGTAGCAGCAGATGTGATTGCAGACTCCAAAATTTAAAACTTAAAATGGTTTTTAAAGGTTATAAAACCCAACCCCTTTATTTTATAGATGATAAAATAGATTTCATTATCCCTCTGCAGCAGATCTTCCCTTTAACTATTATTAAAGTATAGAAAGTGAATTCTAATTTATCAGCATTGAAAAGTACACTTCCACCCCAGTACCCTTGTCCAACTACCATCATTTTTCACCTGGATGACAATAATATCCTCCTAACTGGTCTCTTGTTTCTACCATTGCCACTACACATTTGACCCTCAGAACTTTTGAATAAGCCTAAGATCATGTCGCTGATCATGTCTACTCAAAACCCTCCAGTGGCTTCCCATTTTACTCAGACTAAAACCAAATTCCTACAATGGGCTATAAGGCTTTTAACAGTTTGCACCTTCACCACCATCCCAACCCCAGTCCATTCCTTGTCTTACCTAATTTCCAATTGCATCTCCCAACCCCACCTTGTGTATTCTGCTCCGGGATGCTGACTCTTCGTACTTCCTCTAACATGCCAAGCATACTGCTTTAGGGGACTGGGCACTCCTTAATGCTTGCCTGGAACACGTTGCACCTTCATAGATATATGCATAATTCACTCCCAAGCCCTTGTCAATACTGCATTCTCAAAGAGACCTCTCTTGAATGTTACATTTCCAATAAAATTCAGACATGCTCTCTAACCTCCTCTAATTCTTCTTTTTTTATAGCATTTATTATATTCTAATATACTACATAAATTACTCATTTATTATATTTATCTATCTGACTGAATGCAAGCATCATAAGAGCAAGGGTTTTTTTTTGTTAGCTGATATACATTACAGTACCTGGCACATACTAGGCTCCCAGTAAGTATTTGTGAATGAATAAATACATAAAATAATAAAGCCACTCTGACACTGAAAGCTGTCATTCAGGCTTTGACAATATCACAGTGTCCTCATTTTTGTTCTTGCTCAGTTATAGTGAGTCTTTCACAATTATGAATGATTATCCCATTTGTTATGACCTGGGTTCTTTAATTTAAAATATTTCCTTAGAGATGCTATAGAAAATGTTTTAGACAAATTTTTAATACAAAAAGTAATTTGGATAGCAGAAAGTATATGTTATAATTAATTTTTCTCTTAATAACTCATTATATGAGCAAAAATAGGAAATGATGACTATATTAGTTTCCTAGGACTTCCATACAAAGTAACACAAGCCAGGTGACTTCTCACAGAAGCAGTAGTGCACAGTGCTACAGGAGCTCATAGGACCATGGTGGGCCACAGAAAGTTTCCCACACAAAATATTTCAAAGCTGAGAACTAAGCAGTGAGGTGGGGCAGGAACATTTGAGGCAGAGGAAAAATCAAAACGTTGGGTTTTAGAGAACTCGACAGTTGTGGAGCATTTAAAATTTAGTCTGTACAATAAAAAAAGAGCACAAATAGCCCAGACATTCCTCAGTAAAAGGAACAAAGTGGGAAGTATCACACTTCCAGGTTTTAAACTTTATTACGAGGCTACAGTAACCAAAACAGCCTGGTATTGGCATAAGAATAGGCAGATAGACCAATGGAACAGGACACAGACTTCAGTAACAAAAACTTGGTCTTTCAACCAACTCATCTTCAGCAAAGCAACCAATAACAATCACTGGGGAAAGAAAACCATATTTAGCAAATGGTGCTGGGAAAACTGACTGACCACATGCAGAAGTAGGAAACTGGACCCCTATGACTGTATACAAAAATCAACTCAAAATGGATCAAAGACCTAAACATAAATCCTCACACAATAAGAATCCTAGAAGAAAACATAGGAAACACCCTTATACACATTGGAGTAGGCAACAAATTCTTGACCAAGTCCCCAAATGTGATAGCCATTACAGCTAAGACCTCATCAATCTGAAAAACTTTTGCACAGTAAAAGAAACCATCAAGAGAGTAAAGAGACAACCCACAGAATGGGAAAAATATTTGCAAATTATATATCTGACAAAGGCTTAACATCTAGGATCTATAAGATACTCAAATGAAGTAAAAGTAAAAAAACAGAATCCCATTAAAAAGTGGGCAAAGGACATGAACAGACACTTCACTTCTCAAGAGACGACATACAAGCAGCCAACAGGTGAAAAAATGCTCAGTTTCACTAATCATCAGAGAAATGCAAATAAAAACTACAATGAGATACCACCTAACTCCAGTAAGAAAGGCTATTATTAATAGGTCAAAAAACAACAGATGCTGGCATGAGTGTGAAGAATAAAGAATGCTTCTATACTATTTGTGGGCATGCAAGCTAATTCAGTCTCCATAAAAAGCAGTGTGGCGATTCCTAAAAGAACTAAAAATTGACCTTCGATATGATCCAGCAATCCCTCTCCTGGGAATACACCCAGAGGAGCATAAATCATTCTATTAAAAAGGACACCTCCACATGCATGTTTATTGCTACACTGTTCACAATAGCAAAAACATGGACTGGAAAAAAAAAAGTGATACATGTACATAATGGAGTATTATGCAACCATAAAGAAGAACAAAATTATGGACTTCTCAACAAATTGGATGGAGTTGGAGAATGTCATGCTAAGTGATCTATCACAGAAACAAAGAACTGAATATAGCATGTTTTCACACATAAGTGGGCCCTGAACGATAGTCACATTAGTGCAAGGGAGGGATTGGCAGTCACTGGGGAAGGAGGAAGGGAAGAGGGTGAAAGGCATGTGATAACACAAAGAGTGCCAGATCCACTAGCAGGGAGAGTGAGGGCCAGTTAGAAGCCCAAACGTCACCTGCATATAACCTTCTTATGTAGTTAATCCTCACATGTACCTCAGATCTCTATAATAAAATAAAACTTAAAAATAAAAATAAAGTAAATTCAGTTGGCAGATCCTCAGTATATAATGTAAAAAATGTGAGGGGGGGGGGAATAGGTAAAAGTAAGGGAAAACAGGAGGCAGATCTAGCTTCCTTTATTCTTGACAGACAGCATTACATTTTACCTCCCAAGTAAAATTCATGCTATGAGGAGTGATTTTTCTGTCTGTCTTTCCTCCCTCCCAGAAAATCACATGAGCACACCATGACTTAGCTGCATTCACATGTACTCTTCCTATCTGTCCTTTAAGATGGTATGCCCCTCCTTTTACTATTCCTTACTTTCTTCAGCTTTAGGTCCTGAATCCAGGTCAATTTACTATAAAACAAATTGCACAGATGGCCAATTTACTGAAGGGACAGTACACTGTGTTTTCTTATTTCTTGTAACTAATCATGATTTTTAAAGCAATTTGGGCTGATCTAAAGATTTCTACAAAGCTCCAGTAGGTTTTGCTTTGTTTTTCTTTTATGATACCAGTTGAAGGAATAATTACCTGTACTTGTCCTAGTTGCCCATTTTTAGACAGATAAAGTAGAGGAACTCTTCCTACAGGAAATTCAGAGCAGGAGTCTGCATAGAGCATCATCTTCTTGTGGGCCTAGGTTTATGTGACATTTGGAAGCCCGAGACTGAGGGGCAGAAAGGGAGAGCTTATAAGTGTATATTTTTAGAATATGTCACTGAGAATATGCATACACATGAAGAAATATTTATATGTAAAATATTCCTGGTTATTTTTTTCAAATATATTTTGTAATATAAATATAATATGTATACACATCTATGCATACACACACACAAGCATATGCTGTTTTTATGCTCCTAAGTCCCTTTGCTCGTTAGTTTCTTCCTGCTGCTGATTTCACCAGCTCAGAGCTCAGACTATCCTGTGTGTTAATTCTTCTCAATCTTTTATTCATCAGATGGATCCTCACTCTGCCCCAGTTTCCTACAAGTCACCACCAAGAATCAACTGCAAACATAAATCAAACCCGCTTGAAGACTCTATCAAGACAGAATTAATACAGAATAGTTGAAAGAACAAACACATTGGGAAAATGGTCATTTGATGAATTACCCATTGCTTTAATTTTTAAAGACAGTAAATTATTGAGTTGACATTATACATTATATCCTATCCCCTTTTGTGTCCCTTTGATTCAAAGTCTAGCAAGAATTTTACTTTTTACCAAGGAATTCTCTTCATTAAAAATATAACAAAAAACTTTGAGGTGGTAGTTTTCTTAACTTTTTCCATCTCCACTCTCTTGTGTTTACTCGGTCTTACTAAGTTCTAAATAAATATTTGCTAACACCTAGAATAGTGCCATGTGGATTAATGCTGATATCTACACATGCTTTGAAATGTCATCTAATACAATTTAGTCTTATTTTTGAACCTAGTTGTCTTAGAATGAATCTCATGAAGTAATACCATTTTGAGAGTGACCAGGATACTTTTGGTTTGGAGGAGAAACTCAGAACCCATGAATAGTTCTTCAACTTGTCTTTATTTTCTGGAGATGTTCTAGATCAGACACTAAACTAAGTTTAGGGAGGACCCAAATAGATATTCCAGACCTTGGAGCTAGAACAAGTGGGATATGAGAGTGAGGAATCCTCTACTTGGCAACAAAAATGCTATGGAAATTATAATTGGTAACAGAAAAATCAAATCTAAGACTGATAAGATGATAGATTTATAGGCTTATAAACTAGAGACAAATGTGATTTGTGAAGTGACTTCTGGAGAAAGCCATGAGTTAGGTGAATAAATAAACTGGTCAACATATTCACTTTGACTTAAATCCTTCATTGTATGGAGATAGCTATGATTATCATTGTTATTTGTATGGGATTATCACAATATAGATTGATCTGTATGAAGTTGAAAGGGCAGAGATATAAACATATTTTATGCCTTTATAGTGTCAAAAGAATATCACTTGAATATTTGTCAGCTATTGCTTGGTAAATGGAAAACTTCTCATATTATGCATGCATATGTATTATTTTGCAGGTTTAGAGCAGTTTGTTGGAAGAATGCAAGATTTTCGATTATACCAAGTAGCACTTACAAACAGGTAAGCAGATGTTGTATTGTAAACCTTAAGAAGAGTATGGATAATTGCTGAATTCACTTAAATAAAAGTACCATGACGATTATAACATTTTTCATCTTTACAGCATTTGGCAAACATTACCTAATTAATGTTTACAGCGTTTGCTTTGGCTTAGTCTGTGGTTGTTATTCGCTAGTGCTACTCTGTCAGGTAACTCCTTGTGATATGAAATTGATCATGTTCTTTACAAAGAATTTTATTTGAGATAACTCAATTTCTGAAAATTTCATAGAATCTGGGATACATATGTTTAAACATTCTATATGAAGTAATTTCTAATACTTAAGAAATACCAGAGAATGTAGAACAATGAAAATGATTAATTATTTTGAATTATAGGAGATTCTCAAGAGATGGGGCTATTAGGCTTGGAGACAAAAAATGAGTATTTGAAGTTATTTTGATATATTTTTCTATTTCCAGTGAACGAGTAATTATATAGAATTAAGCTAGCTTTAATGAAGTATTTCCTTATCTTGAGGGTAGGTAGGAAATCTTTCTTAGGGTTTCTTAAAGGCACACAAAATTTTATTTTATTCATAAAAGTTAAAGTGAAATCTGCTTAGGAAGGCATCTGAACTTTCTTTTCTAACTTATTTAATAGTGAATTGTTGTATGGATGAGTTGATCTTATTTACTGCTATACAACATCAAAAAGAGGAGTATTTATTCATATATCTTCAAGGGATATATAGATTAGTGTGGTGAATTTCCAAATGTCAAGACTAGCTTTTGCAATTTTGAAAGCGTGGTTCTTGAAGTGGTACTTGATCAGTGACAGATCATTATCGATATAAACATTCTTCTATTACTAGTCTATATAATCAAGAGATACCTTTAAAAAGGGTACGGCAGCACTGGAGCACATCATTGGTAAGATTTATTGCCATTAGCCTTACTATCTTTTAGATGACCCTTGTCTAAAATGTTAAGGACAATGTTGCAGTAATTCTCTGGGAATAAACTTTTCGCTTGGGATCAAAGATTCTTACAGGACAGTAACTTTTGTTCCCTTTCAAAACCTGGTATCCACTGAAAAATATTAACGTGATTTAAAAAAGAAGTCTCTTCATGTGATGTAGTAATGGAAAGTCTGCCTGATCCTTCCATTGCTCCACTAGAATCTGAGAAAAGAAGCCTGATCTTTCCAGTTAGACTTTGGTTGCTGGTATGGTCCTACCTGAATGTCTGGGAAGGTGCTGTGTGGAAGAATGCCTATAAATAGAGTGACTAATTCTGGTCTAGAACAAGTATATTGCCCTTAATGGAAAAATTAAATATATCTGCCTGGAATTGGCATTCTTCTTTGACTGTTGGCAGCTACCACATGATCTAAAAGCCACTGAAACATTATAGGATGCCAGAATCTGTACTGATGAGTCACCGGAAACCATTGACAAATGGCCTTGGCCTCAGTCCTTCCACCTGAAAACAGAAGCAACTAAAATGATGCTTGTTTTTTCACTTCTTTCTTATGAATGAATTTGAGACCTAATCTATAATATTATTATTTTCAGTACATGATTGTTCACTCTCAGTGTTAAGCTAAATGATCTGCATCAATAGTATCCTTTTATATTATCACAGACAGAATAAAATAGTATGATATTTAAATAAATATCCTAGTAGTCAGATAAGGACTTTTGTGTAAAAAGTTTACATTAAAAATGTGCTATTTCTGATATGCATTTTATAAGAATTAATGTGTTTATTTGGCCAGAAATAAGTTTTATTCTATGTTCTGTTTAGACAGTTATTAAAGTTAAATGGATACACATCAAGGCACTAAAAGGGTGATATTCATTTGTAACAGCTCAGAAGTTCTATTATTGTTAAGCTGTTTGTCCTTACAGTCTCCTTCTTGACTCCTACAGAGAAATTCTGGAAGTTTTTTCTGGAGATCTGCTCAGATTGCACATCCAATCACATTGCCGCTGCCCTGGCAGCCACCCGCGGGTCCACCCTTTGGTACAGCGCTACTGCATTCCTAATGATGCAGAAGATGCAACCAATAACAGAGCATTACGGTTGAATCCTGAAGCCCATCCTCTTTCTTTTGTCAATGATAATGATGTTGGTACTTCGTGGGTTTCAAATGTGTTTGCAAACATTACTCAGATTAATCAAGGAGTAACTATTTCAGTAGATTTGGAAAATGGACAGTATCAGGTAATTCGAAACAATGAGGTTTGCTTTAATTTTCTGTGACTTCTGCAACAAATTACCACAAATATTATGTCTTAAAACAAAATAAATATTTTTCTCATAGTTCTGAACACCAGAAGTACAAAATTAATGTGTTGATATGGGTATACTCCCTCCAAAAGCTCCAGAGGAGAATTCTTCCTTGCTTCTTCTAGCTTCTAGTGGCTCTATAACTCCAATCTCTGTCTCCATTTTCTCATGGCCTTCTTCTTTGTTTCTCTGAGGGTATCAGTTCTCCCTCTTCTTTCTCTTACAAGACAGACCCTAAATCTATGATGATCTCATTCATAGGTCACATTCACAGGTATGGAGAGTTAGTACTTGGACATATTTAATTCAATCTACTATACGGTCAAGACAACTGGGCAATTGAATATAACCTCACTAATGTAGTGTATTATAGTGTATGAAATAAAAAATATCTAAAAGATCATATACAGATCCTCATTTATTAGAGATCTGTATCAAATTATATTTATAAAATATTTAAACTAATCTTTTTACTGAGTATCACAGATTAATAAAAATTGAGGTGCTTTTTCTAAATAATTACTTAGGAAGAATGTATATGACATTTCATGGAAGTAATGTTCTTTGTTCATATCTTTATGTCAATTTGCATTTTGATTTATAAAATACTTGAGAAGAGGGACAGATATAAAATTATAGGATGTGTTGCTTTTACTATAGGGCTATGAAGTTTCTGGATATCCAATAAATATTTAATAATTACAATTATGAGGAAGTGAGCCATTATATTTGAATCAAACAGTTTCATGGTTTGATTTATACTGATGGGTCAAACTTAAAACTTTAATTACAATAATTAACTTATTCATTTTCAGGTGTTTTATATTATCATTCAGTTCTTTAGTCCACAACCAACAGAAATAAGGATTCAAAGGAAGAAGGAGAACAGCTTATATTGGGAAGACTGGCAATTTTTTGCTAGAAATTGTGGAGCCTTTGGAATGAAAAACAATGGAGAATTGAAAAATCCTGATTCTGTCAACTGCCTCCAGCTTCCCAAGTATGAATATTTTAAAAACAATTAATTTTGATAGATTGACAAGTTAATAATAACCTACAGTAAGCTAGCTCACTAGGCTTTTAGAGACCTCCCTCTACCACCAACTTTCTGGAGGCAAATTCTCCTATGTCTCCTCTCTAAATTGAATTTTAAACTATGTTTAAAGTTCTTGGAAAATATTTTGGAATGACTCCTTTACAATCTCGCTGGTGTTTTGCAGTCTGATTATCAGATTATTTAGTAAGTTATCTATATTTTTATTAATAGAATTTCCATTATGTTCTTAAGGACATGATATAGTATGGCTTTCTGTGATATTCTTGTGTTGCTTGCATATGAATTAAATGGAATATATTTGTTTTCCTAGAAGAAGAATCTAAGCTTTTGCTGATAATGTGTAGTCATTTCTCAAAGTTGTGATTTCTGTTTTGTCAAAAATATAAATAGATTTTAATACTATCATATTTCTTTCATCAACAGTTTTACTCCATATTCCCGTGGCAACGTCACATTTAGTATCCTGATGCCTGGGCCAAATTATCGTCCTGGATACAATGACTTCTATAATACTCCATCTCTTCAAGAGTTTGTAAAAGCTACACAAATAAGATTTCATTTCCATGGGCAGTACTATACAACAGACACTGCTGTCAACCTCAGACACAGATATTATGCAGTAGAAGAAATCACCATTAGTGGAAGGTAGTATTCATTACCACTGTTTTGGTTTTGATTAGAGTGTGATTTTCATGATAGATTTTGTTTTCAACAAGTTATTTTTTTTTTTTTTGGTAACAGTTATTTGAAAGTGTATTATAAATTTGTAGAGTAAGTCAAATTCCAGGCTTCACATTTTGAAATGATTTCCTACTCTAAGATTTTTGGGGGCAATTTCTATGTCTTTTCTGTGTATAACACTGTTATAGAATCAATTTTTAAAAGTTGTTGGGTTTAGAAGTAAGGATACTCTGAATATTAAAAATAATTTATAAAATATTTTTGTTCTGGAATATAGTTTTATAATATTCTTGAAAGAAAGAAAAGAAACTAGATTTGGAGTTGTAACTCTAGTACCAGATAGTTTTTAATTATGTGGTGACTCTACTTGAGTTCACATTCCATAGGGAATATCTTCTTTTGGAGGAATGATCTAAGGAACCCTGAGTAATTTATGAATGTTTGATCATCGAGAACACAACTCACAATACTTTTTAAAAAAATTAATAGCTGCAAAACTAGGCAATATACTATTTAATATACAAATGTACATAGAGTATTTTTAGAATGAGTTGTTCTAGAGGACTGATATGCATTGTGAATAAAATATATTTTCAAATGTAGACCAGGATGCCAAGATATAAGCATTATTTGTTTGTTAAGTAATAGCATAATGAAAAAGTAATTCTATTAAATATATATCATCTAACTTTTGAAAAAAGAACAAAAAATGGAAATTTGTTAATCCATTCTACAGTTTATTCTGACCTTTATCTTCTTAACTGTATTTTAAATAGTTTCAGTAAACACCTTCCTTTGGTAAAGAGTTGGTAAAGGTGCAAAAAAGAATTCCACCTCCCTTTTGAGAGTGACTTGAAAATACCTTTACAATACCATGTGTTATGGATAGTGATGAAAGTCTATCCAATAATTCAGGGCCAATCCAAAATTTTATGAATATCCAGATTAAAGAGAAAATTATTTTTGTGTTGGTTAAACATGCTTGTTGGATTCATGCAACATATATGTTCATAGGACCTTGAATGTATTCATTGTTGAGTTGGTATGTCTTAGACATGTGTGATGCTCATGTTTGCAGATGTCAGTGCCATGGCCATGCCGAGACCTGTGACACGACCAGCCAGCCATACAGATGCATCTGCTCACAGGAAAGCTTCACTGAAGGACTTCTTGTGAGTTCTATTTTATGCATGGAAATCTATAAAACAAACAAACAAAAAGAATTAGTAGTTTAATTTTTGACCAACTTCTGGGTATAAATATAAAAAATTGACATGAACCTAAAATGTTGATTATTCCAAATAATTTTTGTAGAGAAAAATGGCAGCTACCAAAACAATTGAAAATTATAGTTTAAAAAAATAATCTCAGCCAGGCGCGGTGGCTCAAGCCTATAATCCTAGCACTTTGAGAGGCTGAGGTGAGAGTATTGCCTGAACTCAGGGGTCCAAGAGCAGCCTGAGAAGCTTGGTGAGACCTTGTCTCTACAATATATCAAAAAATTAACTGGGCATGGTAGTATGCACCTGTAATTCCAGCTACTTGGAAGGCTGAGGTGGAAGGATCGCCTGAAGCTAGCAGGTCATTGCTGGGGTGTCCGTGAGCGTGCCCCTGCACTGGAGCCAGGGTGACTGAGACTCTGACTAAAATAATAATAATAACAATAATAATAATAATAATCTCAGAGAAATTACAACTGAATACAAACGCTAAGGTTTTCCTCTTTATTTCTTTGTTTCATCAGCTTTATTATATTATATAAAACAATTTTAAGGTGTCTTGATGACCTGGCACTAAACAAAAAAATATGGTTTGATTACTACATATATAGTATATTTATATAAAGGTGTTTATACAAAAAAAGGTGAATTATATACAGAGTGATTTTTATGTATTTACATCAATTAAGTTTCATTTATTGCTGACACTAGGAATTTTAAGTAATTAATTTGAAAATTTGTAGTAAAATGATTTAGGAGTTATGTACTGTACTTTGTTGGTCAGGAGAAATTTCATAATTGAGGTAGAAATTTAGGAATCTTTTGGAATAAGTAGTAAATGGAAAAAAATTGAGAGATATATTTTAGTAGAAATATCTAGCAGCAGCATCAGCAATAGTTGGTATGAGAAAGGGTTAAGTAGCAATAGCAATCATACCAGCAATGAAAGCATTTACTATGGGGTATTCAACACATTATGTTTCAGGCAATTGGCTGCCAATTTGTAGGAAACTAAAGTTATATCCCTACCACATGACGTGCACAAAAATTTATGTGGCTTAAACATAAAATAACTATAGATCTATTAAAATAAAGATTAGAATCCTTAAAATCTCAATTTGAGGACCTTTATCAACTAAACAAATGAAATGCAAACAGAAACAAACATATCTGGAGCCATGAAGGAAATTAATTACATATTTTGTCATATAAATATTTAAAATTCTGTACAGTGAAAGGACTAACAAACACTGGTGAAAAGTGATGGATTGATAGAAAATATTTACAGCCTTTTGAAAGGTAAAGAATTAAGATCCCTACTACACAAAAACACTTACAAAATATTAAAAATGATAGCAGTCTAATAATAAGAGCAAGTACATGAACAAGCAATTTATAAAGGAAGAAATAATATTTAATAAACAAATATTAAATATTGTTTTTAATCTCGCAAATTAGCAAAAAATGTATAGATTGATAACATTTGGATTTATGAGAATACAACTTTTTTGCATATCAGTGATGAAACTACCAATTGGTATATTTTCAGGGGATAATTTGACCATGTCTATTAAGATTAAAGTTGCAAGTACTGTAAACTACATTATATAATTGCTGTCATTTAAAAAAGCAATTGACGAGTATATTGAATGGTTATGTTCGTGTTGTAGGAGTTTTAACTCCACTGTCAGTTTAAACCAGCAACCTCAGGTTTTTGTCCCACAACCAAGAAGATTAAGGAACATACCGGACACCAAAAGGATGAGTGAAAGAAGGAGTTAATTAAGCAACAAAGCTCTCTGGAAAAAGAGAAGGGAGCCCAAAATGGGTAAACCTTGTGCTAGGAGTTTGTGTGTGTGTGTGTGTTTTATCTTATCTTTTGGGGAGGCATTTCTCTTATTTACATCTCAAACACCCCTTATTTCCTGAGACCCAATTCTTCTCGCGCATATGGGTCCTTGATCAAAGTTACTCCATCTTAAATATTACCCATAAGTACCACAGATGAGCCCTGGGGGTGGTGGTGAAATGCAGCAAATGCTATGTTAATGATATTATAATAAGCCAAGGTCACATTAGGACATTTAGTTTAGCTACTGCGCCTGCGTTTAAGCAGCAAAATGTCCCTTTTAGCAGTACATCCTGGGTGGACAGGATGTCTTAAACGACACTAACCACATTTTTAGCCAACAATTATATAATGGGAGTGGTGCAAAGGGCATTCCTGCAGGTATTAAGTCTTTTCCACGGCCTCCCTCTTCTGTCTGCCTAACCAGCTTCTGACTATCTCCTCTCTCATTTGTATCATTTTGTTACATAAATATGGACTTATATATTAGTGTATTTTAGCTTTTAATATAGTACCACTGTCTCATAAACTCATGCATAACTTGTAAACTTCTCTGCCTCCTAGACTTTGCCTATACTTGTATTTTAGTCACTTAACTTTTCTTTGTAATCTGTTTTAGGATACTGTAGAACATCTTGCTTTTTAAAAAACTGTCAAGGTTTTGGTGAACTCCTTTTCTGTTTTCTGATTCTTAATCCATTTCAGTTTGCTCACAACTTTGACATTAGTGTGTGCAGTTAAATGGCAAGGATATTACCTAAAATATAGTTTCTCTTGCACAGTTATGATATAATCTGGCTCCTCAGTTTCAACTCTGAGTCTTTGTCTTAGCTATGGTCTCCTTTCTTTCTTTCTATGAAACCAAAACTTTCATATTCTAAGTTAGATTTACTTTTCAATTTGTTTTCTAGATCTCTGCTTTTGATTGTTATTCTTTTTAATTTCTACATTTGCTTTTCACCACTAGTCAATAATTGTTTCAAAAGAAAAAAATCTGTTACATTTGAAAAAATTTCTAATGTTTAAAGTCTTTGAATTTGATCTGATAAGTATATCATGAGGAAAATCATTTTTAAAAAATTGATTTTAATATGCTTGATTATGTGGCTGATAATATTGTCTCAAAAAGAAAATTAATTGGATTAACTTGATTGATTCATTCTTTATTGAGTCATAATTGTATGTTTAATTTTTTGCCAATTTAATTGTATCTAGATTAAAGTAAAAGTAATATTTATTCTATTTTTTCCTAGTGTCTTCTTTTGATCCTTAAGATGGACATTTCTTTCTTTGTAATCAGTAGTTTCTTTCATTAACCTTGTTCTTTCCTCCCCAAACCCATAGCAACTCAAAATATGCTTTGTGCTGAATTTATTAGGGCACCTTGAACAACATGTATCTAGTATTTGCAATCTAAGGCTTAGCTAATACTTTCTTATGATATGTTGTTTTCTGAGCTTTCTGTTGACTATTCAAACTGTGTTGGTTCCTCTCTCACTCCTGCTCTCACTTCCTTTTGATATCCTGTCTTATTTTTTCCTTTATCTATCTTCAATTAACTGAAGAAACATTCACAGTTAAATGCTTAATGTTTTATGATTCTTGGATGATTTCATGCTTCTCCTTAAAAATAGAGCCATTAAATGAGTGAAGGCTCATGATTGGTTTCAGAAGTCAAGTTGGGATTTTCAGACTTGGTCTCAGGTGGTGACTGCTGGATTATGAACTAGTGAAATAATTAACTATAATTTGAGTTGAGAATATATTTTAATGCTTCTTATTTAGATATTAAATACTTTTTGGAAACAAAAATAAAAAAGTAGACTGTGTTATTTTCCTCCTTGACATATTTTGGTAATTCATGAATTTAGACATAAATAAAAAAGCAACAAATATAATATACATAGCAAAGTTTGGCAAATGCAGCGGAAGGGAAAAAAATCAATAAGCTGTTAATTTTAGTGATTTCTCCATCCTATGATATTTTCAGCAATGCATTTAAAATGAAAAATGATTTTATAAAAGTATTCCTAATCATGACATTCTTCTTTTGTTATCATTCAAAGCATTTTAATACACGTGGGGACTTAGGTGTCAGAGAAAAGTTGTCTTATTATAATTTGAAGGTATTCAAATTACTACCTATTCAAGTACCTTTCATGTTGTTCCACTTTTTAAAATAATATATTTTAATATAAGCCATTTATTTCCTATTGGAATCCATGTTCTTTTTAAAGACCTGGACATAATCCAAAAAGAATGTCTTCAATTCCACAGTATTATGCTAACTATTAATAACATTACTCAATAAACAGGGTTTTTGTGAATTATATTACAGCCATTTGGCAAACAGATGAAAATGTAAGCTTTGAAAATATGCCAGGTCTTGGCAATTGTCTTCCCTATGAGAAAGTGTTTTCAGTGAAGTGAGAATGAATGAAGTTGAGAAAAAGTAGTAGAATGGTGAATTCAGTAGCAGGTTCATGTACTTAGCCATTCTAGGGAATTTTCCATAAGAAACATTCATATATGAAGAATGATCATTTATGAAGACACAAATCGGTGGCCCTTAGATGGGACCAAACTTAAATGGTTTTTAAATGAATTTCCAACAAGAGTTTTCACTTTTTCATTTTTAATTTCTGGCTACTTTTATTCAGTATATAGTCTAACCATGTGTCCATTTCTTGTTATGGCAACAACTGACTGACTCAGGGTAGCAATTACCTTATTTAGAGTGTCACTCTTTGGTTTCCTCTACCACCTTCACTGCTATCTGTAGCCTTATATCCGGGTGACTTCATGGTAACTACCCATCCTTCAAAAACTTTTGAGTTTATGTACCTTCAAAAGCAAAGCTTTCTGTTAGGTGGAGACACTAGTAGCCATAATATCTGATTAATTATTCTGAGTATAGTTAAACCAGCTGTCCATTGTCATAACCCCACCCATTGCTAGCTCCTATTTTTTCTATCCCTTTATAAAAATAAAAACTCACAAATAACCAAAACAACTGATGCTGATGCTGAGATAAAATTAAGGCCACACTTACTTTTTCCTTAAATTTAATTACATTTTGGGATATGTAAAACGTCTACCTTGG